CGTTCTTTAAAATTGAAGCATTTTAAATTAATGTATTTGAAATTGTAAAAATATGCAAATAATAATGGGCTTATGTCAATAGTTATCCTCACTTTTCAATATAGTCAAAAAATTTTGATTCTGATACACCTTTTTCAACTTAGAAAAAAAGGAAAAAAAAAATTGTCTCCTTCCAAATATGGATTTAAATTATTTAAACATTATTTCTATTGTAATTTAAGAAAATAAATAATTAACTGTCTATGCATTCAGTCTAATGCGGCTATGACTGCATCAACAACCTCTTGGGTGGTGCTAGTCCCTCCAAGGTCTTTTGTTCTGTACTTGCCCCCTGAAATTACCTTCTTAACAGCAGTTTCTAATCGATCAGCAAATGACGGAAACTGGAGATGTCTCAACATCATTGCAGATGAGAGAAGAACAGCCACAGGGTTGGCTTTCTTTTGTTGCACCAATTTCTCATTGCCCACATTTCCTGCCGAAGCACCTTGCTCAAACACAGCATGGTCAGCTCCGACATTACCTAGAAAAAGGTTTCTCGCATTAGTGAATTTCAAACATGACATCATTTTGAAAATTAAGATTTCACTCATAAGCACATCAAAGCCCAAAAGCCAACAACTTTAGAGCCCATTCTGGCATTAAAGAAGTTTCCACTTTATTCCTACAGCTTACATAAAAGTTGCTTGCGCAAGCGCAATTGTTTTTTATGGAGTATCTAAAAACTGTGAAACCAAGTAATCTACGACAGGTGGAAACCCAAGGACAAAATTTCCTCAACACAATTCTCATAGCAAGAAAGAAAAAAGACATGAACTAGGAATTATCTGATTTAGATAAGATAAATAGACTTACAAGTAGCTGAGGGCAGTGTTATAAAGACTGGACCGGACCACCAGTCCAACCATTTGAACCAAAATTTTCAATAGATGCAATTTGGTTTAGTAATTTAACCGCATAAGCAATTCAACTGCCTAGAACCTTTCAAACCATGTGGTTTTAATTTAATACTTTTCAGTATTCTAATTAAATTTATTTTATTTTATTTAAAAAAAAAAAAAAAAAAACACTTGCTGTTCTGACTTTACTGAACCAACAGTTTAACCACAACATAACCAGAAAAATTTAAAACAGAAGTTAGCGGATGATTGTACCTCCTGGCATGACTCCTGTACCACCGGCGATGCCAGCTGCTGTATTTGCAACCAGATTGCCATAAAGATTGGGTGTCACCTGAAGAGAAAGAGAAACGTGTATCAGCTAGACAGAAACACTCTTATTCATTTCTGACCATAATAATGTAGTTAGGTTTTCATATAATTTGAAAAATAACAATTTCCAAAACATTATACTTTATGACGAAGTGTTAGCTCGAACTGGACCTTCAGGTCTAAATGGTTCATCCCTAAATCTTAAGGCATTTGGGTTAATTGGTCGGGATTTCAAGCCTCACAAACCCCTTGAAAAATTGTAAACTGTTCCAACAAAAAAAAAAAGAAAAAGAAAGAAAGTGTCAGTTCTAACATGCTACTCTTCTTTGGTAGGTACAACATCCTACTTTTACTGATCTAGTGTTGCCATCTCATCCAATCTCCAAGAAACGCGTGTCATTTGTGCTGCTTTTTTGCTTGGCCAAGAATGATCCGCTAAAAATGATACAAGCACAGAGAAAAATACCATAATTGCCCCATACTCTCAAGTCTCATGTAAAGGTACATCAGCTCATCATCTTCACTACTTCATATTTTCTCCTACATCATAATCCAATAACACGCACAGCAAGTCCCTCCACTAAGATATCATTTCATTCCAGAGAAGTTGGGGTGCAATCAATGAATTCCTTTTCTCCAGTGAACTTAGTCTAGGGTTATAGTTACTCTATTACAACCATGGTAAACCAAAGCTTTATCAATAGCCAAAGGAACAGTTTAACGAGATTATAAGGTTAAGGATTTGGCCTGCTGGACATTCTATATAATTGCAAGAATCTAGAATTGAAAGAAATGAACAACAACTATGGCTGAAACTTAAATGGATTGAGAATGTTCACTGACCATGACATCGAATTGCTCAGGCTTTGACACCAGCTGCATACAGCAATTGTCCACAATTATTTCATTGTACTTGATTCCTGGATACTTGGTCGCAACCTCTCGACAAGATTCCAGGAACAGACCATCAGCAAGCTTCATAATGTTGGCTTTATGCACAGCAGTCACCTTCTTCCTGTTGTTGAGGTAAGCATACTCGAATGCATACTTTGCAATGCGCTCAGAACAGAACTTTGTAATCACCTAACAGTTTAATAGTATGATGCTCAAGAATAACCCTTCAAGCTATTCCACATTGAAGAGATAAATTCCAAAATTAAAGACAGAGGTCAAACAGCGAAGGTACCTTAAGGCTCTCCACAACTCCGGGAACCACCTCATGCTCGAGGCCGGCGTACTCCCCCTCCGTATTCTCTCTGATCACCACAATGTCCACATTCTCGTGCCTGGTAGGCAAGCCAGGCAAATTGAAGCAATTCACGAGCGAGGCGTACAAATCTAGCTCCTTCCTCAGCTGCACGTTCAGCGAACTCACACCTCCTCCCATCGGCGTCGTCAATCCTCCCTTCAAGCACACTTTATTCCTCTTTATCGACTCGATCACCTCATCCGGCACGCGCTTCATGTCACCGTGCACCTCGTACCGCTCGAAGTACACCGGAGAGTGCATAGCCTCCATCACTTGCTCCACCGCCCCAGTCACCAGTGGCCCGATCCCGTCCCCGGGAATTAAAGTGACGGCACGTGGGGCTCCATCTCCAGGTCGGGGCATGTAAGTGACGGATCGGGTCGGAGTGAGGTTATAGCTGGTAGAGGTCAGGAGCCGTTTCAGAATCGGAATCGACCTCCAGGCCATCGCGTTATAGGATTGAGCCAAGATCGAGACTCTAGGGTTTCTCAGGGATACAGAATTAGAAACCGCAGCGAGAAGCCATGAAAGCAGCGGAGAAGGAAGAAAAAGAGGGAGAGTCAAATGACAGAAAAGTTTAAACAAAAAAATGGAATATTTGAAAAGTAATTTCCAGGA